CTTATCAATCGCGGCAGAAAAAAATGCAACAAGTATCTCTATAGAAACTCTGTGAGAGAGCAAGAGTTTGTAAAAAAAAAAGAAAGGGAAAAAATGCAAAAGTATACTCGCGATACTGGCCGATAATTTCGCCACGCTGGATCCCGATTAGCGATTCAATAATGACATTGGACAATGGACACGGCGGAATAATCATAAAGAGGATTTCATTAGTACACAATTGGCTAACCGGTTATTGTCCCTTTTTGAACGTCACGGCTGATAGAAGTGGTCGCTACTCGCGCTGTGGATAATAAGCGCATCGTGGAAAATGTTTGGTTAATACAGACAATGTGAATTGGCACTGCGAAAGTAATTAATCGAGCGTTATTTCAGTTCCGCTTGAAACTCGATCGATTTCATCAATGCATCGAGAAATGTAAGTCAATTAAATATAACGAAATAATCGCAATAAAGCACACATGTGATGCAGAAATATGCGGGTATATCGTACGAACGCCGAAAGAAACACACGAGACAAAAAAACATCCAACTTGAGCATCGCCGTAATCGCAATCGAATAAATTTCACGGACTCGATATATGAATGACACACGTTAGAGAATCAACTGTAAATGTATTGATCCGTAATGCGGTCTCTCCATCATTATCGGACGGCTCGTCGATTTGCCGGCTGTCAATAGGAAATTACGACTGCGCGTCACGTAAATATTTAGCGATCGTATCGGACAACGCGCATTAACGCAGAAACGTTATATTCGCTAAAGCGCAGGGATCATAAGGGATCATAAAAGGGAGGAGGGTATTTAATCGTCACGTAATTGTCGTTTCAATCGATTATACGATACCTCTTTAAACGTCACGGTTGATAAAAAAACGCGGTCCGGCATGTTACGTAACAGGCAGCACAACCCCGTGGAAAATGCTGCACAGTCGTGAGGCTTCGCGACGGTACACATGCATATATACGTATATCAACGATACGCGCTCGTCGTTGATTATAATTTCGGTGTTCTGGCGCGGCGGTGGTTTTGCCCGTTGTAGAATTAGCAGAAATTCTGGCTCAGCGAGCAAAACGATATCGCAGCGGCATGGCAGTGCGACGCGACGCGACGCGGCGCGGCGCATTAATGACACGTGCTTCGCGTAATTTCAATAGGCGATGCGGCGCGCTGGCGACCGCACCCTATATCGCGATGCGTGCATGCGTGCGTGCATGGGAGATGCGATGGCTACGCATCGCCGAACGAAATCCGTCACGACGTAATGAGCTCGCGTTGCCCGGTGTCGATAGACAGATAGACAGAGAGTGGGACATTTATTCGACGTGCCGGGATAAAGTGCCCTATAACTTCGCGTGCAGCAAATGACGTGGATAGTTACATATATACGCAGATCGAAGGGTACAGTGAAATGGTAAAAAAAGGGAGAGATGACCAATGAATTTGATAAAGAAAGAACGCGCGTTTGTCTTTAGAGACATCATCATCTCCCGACGTAACAACTTTTGTGCGTGTCATTCATTCGAGAATTGTCTATAACTCTATGAAAAATGATCCGTTACGAATGAGACGTTACGGGATAAATTGCTAAAGAGCACAACGGCGTACACGTGGAAAACTAACGTTCCCAGCGGTGCGGCTTGCACCAAAAACGTGATCAACGAGCGAACATAATTCGTAGAACCTCAGACTAATGGCCATCTGTTCCCGTGGTTCAAGTAATTACAGCGGTAAAGCGCGGTTCTTAATTCCGACGATTAATCCACATTTCGCGCGGTACATTCGGAATGATTTAAGAAATTTTACGGTGAGGCGGCCGCGATAATAGCGCGTGTGAAATGTAACGTTTAACTTGCCCCGAGCACTGGCGCTATTAGACGCGGAGAACGAACGATGTTGAGAATGATAACTAATTCACGCTACGTAATCTCGAAGAAAAACAGCATGCCCGTCACACGCTATGTCGTAACTGCTGTACATTAAATAATATGCGCATTATATATAACATGCACCGAGGCTATACACATTTTGCAGAATTTTGTCGCTGTCGCGATAACTGCAACTCTCGAAATGTGCCGTTTCTAAATTGCCAAAATTTGACTTACGACCGTCATCTCGTCCGAGATGAGTGACTCAAATAGCGTAGCATTTCTCTTTTCCAATTTTCGCTGAATAAATTGTAAAATAAAATAACGTACTCTTTACAATTCGTAAAACCTTGTTACGGATGTGTTCGAATAGAAAGATCTATTAATACATTAGATACGTTGGAAAAGTACACTACCCCATTGCTCATATTGTAAACACTTTAGGAAGAAAAATGTTTGTCTTCAAACCCCAGCGGGAATAGATATGCAGGTTTCCAACTTTAGCCATCTAGGTACAAAGTTCCGTCGTTTTTCGAGAGTTGCGAGTTGAAAATTTGCTATCGCTATTGAACGCCATGAATAAAATCCTATTTACGTCTACGTTTCTAGTTGTGCGCGATTGTGTAGTGAAAAAATTTATTCTCGCAAAAAAATCAAATTCTCTTAAAAATAAATTCCAATTCTCTCATTGGTCAATATCTTTTTAAATTTTTAAATATACCTACTGCTTTATTTCTGTTTCAATTCAGACTCAATTCAGCTTAAAATTAAGAACAACTTAACGGAAGGAAACACCAATTTTTATACAAGAAGATATTGATAACGCACTCGAAATATATTCTACGAGATAAAGAAAGACAGAGACAGGCATCAGACGCGAGGAAAAATGGCGAGTTCTAAACATTCGAGTCCTCGGTGGCTATCACTCAAATCGTTCAGCCCACTCGCGCTACTATAATGTCAGCTATATACTAGAGGAGCGTGTGCCGTGGCGCGGAGCGACGCAGCCACTTCGGAGCAATTTATTTCGCTCCTTCCCCCCGTCGAGATATCGTTCCGTCGCGGAAAGAGTGATGGATGTTAGGGGCGTCGTGTCTACGCGGGAACGTACGAAACACGCGGAGCGCCGTTAAGGTCGAGTGCCTCAGATGTAGGACACTTTATACGCCACTTCCCACCACCCTTCACTACCCTACATTCTCGCCTCTTTTTGGATCCAGTTCCCAATAAAGCTCGCCGTCGACGCGGCGTGTCCGTTTGAATTAGTTACGCGAGCGCGAGGGATAATGCGTGAGAAAGGAGAGTAAACAAATGCGTTTTAAAGGACCCCGCGAGAAGAAACGAAAGAAATGCTCGTTATAGTCGATAAAAAGGACTTTTTAAGAATTGTGCTGCTTGTGGAATTAACGTGGAAACTGTTCCTGCACCTCTATGTGCAATCTTGTGGAATGTTGTAATTCCAGCAAACACACAGGAAGAAGTTTATAACATAACATAAACCGACACTTCCGTTTATCTTCCACGTTGTTACAAAGTTGAAGTTAATAAGTTTCTCTCACGGGGTATCCATTAAAATAAATATCGCACGAAAGTTAATAAAAGCGTTAACAATCCTGACAGAAAATAAGAAGAGTTATTTTTGCGGAACAATACATAAACTCTAAAAAAATATTCCTTGATATATATATATTATATATTGAACATTTATATATATAGAGAATATAACGCAGGTTTCATCTCACATAAAACACGTTTAAACATTCCTTATTTTTGTTACTGATTAAAATATTGATCCTTCATTATCATACTTTAGAGTAAGCAATAATTCAAATCTAAATATCGGCTCGATAATCTTTGTGATATTTGAGATACAAAATTGTATCGTATAATTAGCCAGGTGTATCGATGTACACCAAATTTTCGAGACAGGTGAAACAGTATATACATGTAATTATAGCACATCAATTTCGAGTAATAATTCGAAAGAAGAAAAAATTCCTTTCGCCGTACTAATAATTTTACTTTGGAGAAAATATTCAGTATTTACATATTCAATATTCATGCATTCAATGAAAAATATTTGTCGGGGTGTAGAACACATATCGTGAATATATGAAAAATCTCCGCGAGATGCATAAATAATTGAGGAGAGGGGGAAAGGGAGTAACCACAGCAATGAATCACATAGATTCTAAATTAGCTGTGAAATCTCGTGTAAAACAAAAATCGCAACGAATACGTTATATATAACGCATGGAAATTTCTGCAGACTCGTTTTCGCTTCATTGTCCTAAGTTTCGTGATTGTGATATGATGAACGAGTTTTTAGCTGTAATAGAATAAAGCCACGAGAGAACAACCAATGAGAAACCTCTGTGTTGCATCCCCGGCGATTCGCGCTTTAATAATTTAATCGGGACACCGCGATCGATACCTTTGTATTCTTTTCTTATACAAAGATAAGGAAAGGGAGGCGACGGAAGAGGGAAGAAATTATGCTGCTGATTAAAGTTTACGCAGTCACCGACTCGAAACGAAACAATCCTTCGACAAGGGAGAATCCACCCGCGAGTGGGGAGGAAGGTACATGACCCTGCACTCGCTATAACTTCGTTCGATCATTACGTAAGCAAACCTCTCTCTTCTCTCTCTCTCTCTCTCTCGGCCTTCGAGAATGCGGCTTCGAACTTTGCGGAAGAGTCCTTAACCTCCATCGCGCGGAGGTTACTATTCAATCTACGAAACCTCGATCAATATTGATATCGCGAATAGTCGCTAAACACAAGGTCGAATAAAGACAACAATAGCGCGAATCGTCACCACATTTATCTCGATTTTCATTCCCGATAGTTTTTTTCTCCCGTAACGTATAATTAAATTTTCTTGAATAAATTTTCAGGTAATGAATTCAATTATATTAATTTGCGCGGTCGTGCCGAAAATATTTATCTCACGATTCGAAATACGTGAAAGGGATCGCGTGACCGAAATTTCTCCTCGTTAACCACGCACTAATTCATATCACAAACACGAAACAAGGACAGGGATAAAAATAAGAGCGAGTGGAGAAAACTGCACCGTACATTATTATTCATCTAATGCGCACTAATCGCAAATGATCGATCACTCACCTAGCTGGACGTACATCTTCGGCCTGACGTTCTCCTGCCAAGCAGCCAGGGCGAGAGTGAACGTCGCGACGAAGCACCAGCAGGACAGCAAAGGATGCATCCTGGGGGCGACGCGGAGGCTGGCTCGCCTCATCCTTTCCTCGCGATGGTGTCGCAACGGCGCTCGGAATGACGTGCCAGGATTCACAGTCTCGCGGTCGCGGGCACTGAACGGACCGGAAACGACCGGAGCGAGAGAGGGCACACGCGAGAACGGAAGAAATCGCGAACACCGTGTAATTGAATTCACCGTCACACTGTGCGAATTCTCGAAGCACCCGCTCGACACCTGTGAGAGAAGAGATGCACCGCGAATGAACCTATCTATATCGAGCGTGTATCCAAGGGCTTTCTCTCGGAACTCGCACTCACTGCGCCGGAAGTAGCTGCGCGGGTGTCGCGGCAGTCACGTGCGACGCGACGTTCCCGTTCGTCGCGGTCGTTGCATCCACGGTCGTCCACCGGCGGCCCGCCACGCGCATGTTTTCCCGAGGACGATGGACCGCCTCGCAGCGGCCGTGCGGCACATTCACGAAACCGCGTTCGACGCGCGCCGATGCACGACTGACGGGAGAAACGATTAGTAGGAGAGCCGAGAGTCGGAACCGACACTCGCGCTCACGCGTTCAAGCGTCCACGCGCGAGTGACGTTGAGAATAAAAGACCCGTTATTTACGTCTCTTATTGCGCGACGTCACGGAAAACACGCGCACACCAGTAGAACACCATCCGCACCCGCTGCCGGTCGCCGTCACACTGACGTCGCGACAGATGACGCTCCCCACCAAGCGCCGCGCACCCTCTTCGCGCCGCTACGCGCAGGCGCGGTCCGTGTTAGCGCATACCTTTCTCTCTCACCCTCTCTCTTTCTCTCTTTCTTCGTCCGCCGGAGTCGTATCTGCGTATGCGTGATGATTACGCGTGCGGCTTTCTATACACGCGTACGTTCGTTGTGCACGCACGTGGATATGCCGATGAAACTCCACGGGTAGTATATATGCGTAGGAAACGGAGGGAAAGATATAGGGGCAGTGGACCTTTTGGAGGGATAGCGCACGAAGGGTTCGTGGGACGAGTGGAGGCTTGGAGGAGGAAGGGTGACACCGGGCAAGCGCCGATTTTCAACCTCACTACCTCAACGGCGCGCGACACGCCGCTGTCGTCTTCCGCGACCGCGTCGTCGTCAACGTAGCGCCTGCTAACCTGGAATGAGAAAAACGAGGATCGTTATTTGGGTCGATCAAGGACGCTTTAATCCGCTCGTATTCTGTCGCGAGATTCTTAATTTGCGACAATAACACCGCGAATTGTAATCTTTCGGGGGATGTTTTCGTAGTCGTCTCTGAATTATCTCTTCAAATATACTGAAACTTTTTGCACCTTCCTGTTTTTCAATTATTATTCATATGCTTGAGAAAAAGAGAAAGTTCTGTGAAATATTTCATTGGAGTCTAAAATTATCAAACAGTTGACATTGCGAGAGAGAGAAGGACTTCGATGAAATCTTGATTAAAATTGTCAACTTTAAATTCTCGCAACGGCGAAACTTATTGCGTAAAATCTCATCGCGCCCCGAAACGAATCGGATTTGATAGTCCGATATCTCTGGAAACTCGAAAACCGCAAAGAGTCAGAGTGGACGAAGAAATCCGATTACGATTCGATTTCGCGTAAACGCACGCGCCTGCAAATCCCACGGGAACCCTACACAAATAAGGTTTCATCACGCAGAAAGTTCTGGCTGCGCGGCGGGATAACGAAATTATCCAAATGCGACTGATTCGTCAGCGAATTTTATGAACGTATCCCGTATGCGCGATGCGTAGCGACGCCGCCGACGTTGACATTGTTCATTAATTTGGCGAACCAAGTGCACGGGGGAGAGACCGGGGGTTGGGGGAGGACACTGATGGACACCACGCAGAAGGGGAAGTATGTGTGCATCGAGACTCTAATTCCTACACCAATGATTGGACATGCCTGCACGAGGGAATTCGCCGGGTGTCCACGACGTGTACACGCAATTTCGCGTGGATATGTGCGTGTCCGCGCGTACATGTCCGAGCGTATCGTATTCGCATCCGGCGTTCACGCTCCTTTAATCCGCGATACGCTAAAACACGCGATCAACATATATTCGCGATTCCGCGACTTGCCGCGACATTTTTCAGAAAATTTCAAAGAAATTATTTCCCTTTCCTTCTCTTTCGCTCTTGTCGCGAAAAAAAAAAAAAGAGAATTTTCTTCTCTTAGAATTTATCCTGAAAATCATGGTAGGTGGTAATCGTAGGACAATGTGGTATTGGAAGAATTTTATAAGAGTTTCTCTGATTTAATATTTACTGTTAATATTGTAAATTAATTGAATATATTTTGTATCTTATTGTGGTAGATATTAATATTTTTTATTGCGGTAAATATTTTCATCAAGAGAAACTCTTATAAAATTCTTCCAATATCATATTATCTCACCATTTTCAGGGGATTAATTTTTAAGAGAAAATTATCTCTATGTACATCTCAAATATTACTTCACATTATCTTTCCAACAATTTACTTTTCAAGATTAATACTCGAAATTGAGATATAATGCATTTTGACTTATCACTTCGACTTTGAAATTAATGCGGCGAAAAACAAGTATATTCTGATATGTAACTTTAAACTGTTCTATATTAAGATACAGGATAAAGCAGCTATATAAAGCATGTTAAGTCCTCACGTGAATTTTCATGGCATAATATTCATGGTGGCAGTTTATTTCATAATTAGTATAATCTCCAAGCATATAAATGGAGTTATTCCACCATATGCCGTGTTTCATTTGCTAGAAATGAGCAGTGAGTTAACATCTCTTTGGATGTCTTATAATATCTAATATAGTATTAAAAGTACCGGTGAACAAAAATTTAATACGACACATCACGTGTCATATATTAATAATTGCTGACATTTTATGTCACAAATCCAATAACACCATCAATAAAATAAGTTTAAATATTAACCACTATACGAAACAATAACGCGAGTCGCTACTAAAATATTACTAAAACAAACGCGTGTACATATATTATTACAGCGATATATTCTAAAGCCATATTTCAATTTTATGACTCAAACCGCGTAACGATGTTTTTAATTGCAAAAATGATCTATCGATTTCATTAATTCTTCTTGGAAATGTGTATGTTTGTGCGATCAATATCAATCTGAAAAGACAATTCTTCTTTCATCGAAACGACAATAGTTTCGAGTTTTAACCGTAGTTCATTCAACAAACATTCACGCGTTTACACAAAATCAAATATAATGGAGTATATGGTGAAAGCCGTCTAAAGTGATAAGTGGCCATAACAAGAGGAGAAACGATGCATAAAAGATACGTGTGTGCCGCAATATCATCGTCAATCGTAGAGCATGTACGCGCTTCGCTTATGGAGCGATTTAAACTTGCAATACATAGCTTATATCATCATATCTAACACCTACTTTAATCGAGCATATGCAATGTTCTCTCCACAAATAATACAACTTTACTCCATTGACAATATAACATTTCAGCATACATAATATATAATTGTTTCATTTCAAAGTAATTTCAAATTAGTTAATTTAAACTTTTTTATTGATTTTTATTTTGATGAATTTGTCACGAAATGTCGTGAAAATAATGATTAATGTGTATTAATTAATAAATTTTTAATGCTGCGCGTTACAAGGCATTCACAGAGACTAGACGTTAACTCCCCAAGCTCTTTGCGCGAGTTACAAAGGATTAGTCAAAAGGGTGCTTCAACGACTCCTTCAAGTAGCGTCGTAAGCAACACTATAGACAGCATGCTAATGAAAATGAAGAAACGGAGATTGAATGCATCGCGACGTCGAGGCGTCGCGCAAACTCAAAACGGTACTCATCTATAAATGCGATACGCTTTACGAAACTCACTATTACATCTCAGTGGATCAGCGTGTCACTGGATTACTTGAATATTGTAGAAAGAGAGACGTAGCTCGTCTCTCTAGTGTGTTTACAAAGTGCTCGTCTTGTATTTCTATTTAGAAGAGATATTTTCACAGGATGTCTCGCAGGGTAATATACTTTCAGAAAACATACATATTAAAAGCAAATCTTTCTTCACATATTTTCACATTGAATTTGTTGCTAACGAGAATCTCTAAGCTTTGAATTTAATAACGATGTGTAAACATAATTTCAAATGCAAATTCAATTCAAATTTATTCTCGTAAGTATTAAAAACTCAGTACAAGATTTTACTAATAAAATATAGACAATTGATTATAAAAAAAATTATAATAAAGCATAAGAATTTACAGCTTTTGAGTGAAAAAAAAAATCAATTTCACATCTTCCCAGTACTTTACCTCTTTCCATCTAGTCTAACATATAGGAACGATCGGAAATTATAATAAAATATAAGAATTTACAGCTTTTGACTGAAAAAAAAATCAATTTCACATCTTCCCAGTACTTTACCTCTTTCCATCTAGTCTAACATATATAGGAACGATCGGAAGAGATTTAAAAAGACGAGAGAAATGCAAAAGGATGGGCGCGACAGTTTCGGCGAGAAAAGGCGTAAAAACTGAAGAAGAAGATTCGGGGGTAGAGCTCTACAAAATATACTCTCGCGAAATCGTCCCGCGGGAGTGACTTCGTCCGAGTCGATTTCGCGCGCGTTTAACATCGCGCGAGCGACGACGGAAAAGTGCCGGCAGGCAGACAGTGTTGTCTGAGGGATGCCACGAGGGGTGTGGCGAGGCACGAGGGGACAGCAGGGATCGATAACCGAACAACGGAGAAAATCCCGGTGGAAAACGCGCGGGAAGCGCAGGATACCAATGTTGCCGAGGATAGAGAGAAAGAGAGAGAGAGAGAGAGCAAATTCGCGGCTATTGGCAGACGTGAACCAAACTCGATTAAGTTTGACTTCCGGGGTGCGTCGTAACGGGGGCAGAAGAACGTGTCCCGGATGAAATTATAGTTGAATCACTTAAGATGGATTCTTTTGAGTGGCAACGCCATCATCATCGCTATCGCGATCCTTTCTTTTTCATCCATTCATAGTCGCTGTCGGAGAGAGAGACACGTGGAATCTCGCGAGGAATCTTTCCCAACCGGAGATAAAAATTAGCGTAGATAAAGATATCCTCCGAGTCTAACGAGTCTCTCGTAAGAGTACGCGGAAGGGCAGGAACGCGATAAGGGTTAGGTAGGTAAGTTAAAAAAAAAAAAAGAAAGAAAAAAAAAAGAATGGTTAACTACAGAGGAGCAACGCAGAAAATTCCTGCGGATACGACGAGTGAAAGTCCGGGGAAGAGCGAAGGGACGATGATTCGTGCCTGTGGCAAGCTCCGCGCGCGAGCAAAGGGCTCGGAATAAAACTCAATTAAATGCGGCCGAAGTTCAACTTCCGTCAAACGTTAAATAGAAAGGATTTTCCGGATAAAGTTAATTAGCCCACTTAAGTCAGAGTACGTTTGCGCTGATACGCGCGAGACAAATCTTTCGAGCGAAGAAAAAAAAAAAGAAGAAGAGACGAGTGCCACCGCACGGGGCGTTAAGGATAATAGATATCCTGGATCGCCCTATTTTAGTTTTCGAAGTGTCGAGAAAGAGGAAGGGCAACTTTTCTCTCGACGAAGTTTCCGACGGGAGAAGAAAAAGATATTGGATACGACGAAACTTCCGATACGAAAGATACAGCTCGGTAGCTGAACTCTGATTAAAATCAATTAAAGCCATTAGCACCCAATATTTAAGTTTCTCGCAGTCTTTCGATTCCGTCTCGTGAAATAATCATCGGGACTCTCCAAGTCCTCGCCGCAGCGAGACGAAACGTTTTCCCGATAAATCCGATTATACATAATCCAGCCGAACGGAATATTTCTTAAAGTGTCATAAATATTGCGTCGCCATAAATACGACCATTATACTCAGTTGGTCGCGCTTGTACAACCGCAAACTTCTCACTGCATTGCACGACGTAGACCGCAACGACTGGCGATTTTTTATTAAAAAGAAAAAGGAGAGCAAGGACCAAAAATAGAGCAAAAAGCGAGCAGCTGACTGAACAACGGAAGAGAGATCCCGCTAAAAAACGCGAGTGCGTTGTTGCGGCGCTTTTCGAGAGCGCGAGGTAGAGGGAGGATGGTCGGTATGGCAGAGGGTTGCAAAGAGAGGGTT